CCCCTCCCCCCCCTCATGTTTATCCCTGGCTTGTCCCGCTTTTTCGCTCGGTGTTTCCCCAAGAATAAGGGTCAGGAACAGTGTATCCAACTGAACTAAGTAGCGTAGAAATAACGCGCGAATCGAGTACGAATATCAAGAGATATCGAACAGCTGGTGATTTTGTGTTGTCAAAAACCTGTTTAACTGCTCGGCTGCGTGTGCTACGCTTCTTTAACAGCTTCGCTTTTCGCTCCTAATTAGAAATGCGCATACAATAGAGCAGTTGCTTGCTAAATAACTTAGTAGACGTTTGGATGTCTAGTATCACTGAGTATTTTTACTCTTTGGTCTACTCTTTGTTTTTATTTTTGACTCGCCTCTACGGGCTCGTCAAAATACAGCAAACTTGTAAGGACACTCAGCGATACTACACACCAAAACGTTTAGTAAGATATACTTACTGTTCAATAAACTCGTCTCAATTCCTTAATGGACGTGTTTTAAATCTGTGTTTACAGCAAAGTACAATAGATGAGGGCGATGACGAGACATTCCCATCGATTACAGTAACGGTAAGTTTTTGACAGAAAGTAGATATCAATATATACGTGAAGCTGTACCCTCCCCTTCCCCATGGGGGAATGTTACTCCTTTGGGGGGGAGGGGAGGGTACGGCCACGTGTAGGCTAGAATTGTTAGCCATACAGTACACGCGTTTCTCGGCCCCCGCGGGTTGGTTTAAGACGAGTCGGAGATAGGTTTGCCAAGAGTCTGGCACTACAAAATCTGAGTTAAATTCTAGCCTGCAGTCAAGATAATATAAACAGGTCAGTTTCTCTTTCCAGCAGTATATTTGTCTTGTCTTGGCGAGGTAGCGTTACGAGCTCGCGATCGTATATCTTGCCGGCCACGTTTGACTGAGAGTACGAGTAGACGATGGGGGGAGGGGTGGAGAAAGACTCTATTGCTTTACCCCCTTCCCTCTCCTTCCTTTCTGACCGTCGTAGCTATAATTTTCACCGAGAAAATACTAAGCACTTGCTCGCTAAAATCACGCCGGCATTATAGGAAACATAAATTCAACATGAATTGTCTCTGAAGTTTGTTTTTATGAAAATCACCTTCATCACACAAGGCGACTTATCGCAGCGACTTGACCGCACAACGATTTGTCATCTAGTGTGTAACGACCTGGAACCCGAGTGGGTAATCCAATTATTATCCTGCTTTCCCAAAGGAGATGTATCGTTCGTCATTGTTAACAAGAGCCTGTCTCCTCCTTAGATCACTCTCAAGTCACAAGCACCAAGTCCCCTAGAAAATGTAGTTCTTAGTGTCATATCCAGTCCCCCCATTATGTGTAACAGATCATCCATTGTCTTCCCTATTATCGGTGAGTAAAAGTGTCATTGTTGATGAACTACGAATTAAAGATAAGCTTTTGATATTGGACAATAATTTCTCAGCAGAAATTTCTCTAAGTGTGAACTGTTAAATTTTTCACCGCAAAACATTAAAACATTAAATCGACAACCGCAGTATAGAAATTTCGCAAAATCATCATGCTACGTTACAGTCAGTAGTATCATAACTCAGGCGTTCTTGAGGCCTGATTCTTAAATTCGGGTTTGTTCGTCTCCATTCACAAATTACAAATTTGAGGCTTAAAAGCGCTTATGTAAGTGCAAATGTTTTCCCATGTAGGCCTCAAGGTTTTCAAGTTGAAAAGCAGGTGGAAACACAGTGTAAAAGGGATGGCATTTTTCTCACCCTTTTCAAAAGCTTCTAACATGTATTCCTGGTTGCGAATTCCACATGCAGTTACATTCATATGAAAACCGTAGGGAGATTGAACCTACATTTCAACCATTACCAGCGCTTGAGTACCCTTAGATATTTGTCGAGTTTGACTTCTTAATTATTTCTATGAAGATACAGCCTTGCTGTAAAGAGTACCATTATCATCGTATTGTTTCTTTCTGTCGTTGTTTATTCTCAGGAGATAGAAGTGAACCCGTATCTGCAGAGATCTCTTTCTATTCACGTGGAGGATCTATTCCTTGTTCGTTAAAAGCCCAGGTCACGGCAACGTACGTTACAAACTCTGGTGAGTTCACTTGTATCCTGTTCTAATAAGATTGAACTTAAACACAAGAATTCGGGGAGATTAAACGACAACAACAACAACAACAACATTGTTTTGGGAGGTAAAGGTGCAATGGAATAAGTAAGGGATGCATTTTCCCAATGTTCATCAGAATCTAAGAGTGCCTAAACCTTTTTGCGGCTTATCGTAGTTTCTGTCAAAATTTAGTTACAGCAGGGGGATTACTAGTCATTTTGGTGTTAGAGATAGATGTTCCTTACTTTGAGGACTTCGAGAGACGAGTGGAACCCGTAACTGAATTTAGGATCGAGAAAAATACTGAGCAATCAAAAAGAGCTCGGTTTACAGAAATCTACATAGCACATGTAAACTTTTTCTCACCTCAGTTTTTGTGTTCATAGAGGCTCCACGGGTCGCCCAAACAGACATTCATTTTCCGTTAGCTGTTGTCTGTAAAGGATGTCCCCCAGTGAAAAACGCAACTCATAAGGTAAGGATCAAGGACGAAATTATGACAAACTCTATGGGGGGCGAAAGAAAGATAAATATGAAATTCTATACTCTGAATTCAAAACCTCGAACGGACGTGAAGTCGTGTATTTCCGTGATTTACAACTATGTGTGCCCCACAAATGAGGTCCGACGCTGTTCGTGTCCACCTTAAATTCTCAAGAACGGAAGTTATTTCTTTAACCCTTTAACCTGTATGAGTGACCAGCTTCTAATTTCTCCTTATAATATCAACCCTGAATCGAACAAAGTCACAAGATTTAAGGAAATGATCACCAACTTATAAAGCTCCTCATTTGTCAACAAATTCTCCTTGCCAGGGCTTCAGGAAATGTATAGAGAACAGTAGAATATGCATACTGATGTTAGGGTGTACAGGGTTAATGGTTAGGGAGAGATAACCAGGTATTTTAAACGTTAACACAGGAATGTGAGTAATATCAACAAAACTGACAACAGCCAAAGGAACAACCAAGACAAACGAACCAAAGTTTTAGGTCAAAATTGAATTTTTTTTTTCTCTATACCTTAGCTTACTTTAGATACCAACAAACCTCCTGTGAATCTTGCTGAAATATTTCCGGGTAAGTCATTGGTTGCTGTGTTATCAGTTGCTCTGTGGGATATTTCGGGATGATTTTTAAAGCTATCAGGCCAGTTATTTGAAAAGCAGTTAACGCAGATGGTGCATCACTGAACAACCAAAATATCGAGTTCCAAATTATAAACGCTACTTGGCAAAGAATACAAATATTGTTGATAGTATGGCATACAATGTCGACAAACAACTGAAGAACAAACAAAACAAAATAATGATAGGAAAACCAACCAAAAAAGCGATACTTCTCGGGCAAATTGCTTAACCGATGTTTTTGTCGGCGTTACGCAACGATGCCGTGGTCGTTTCTTGCTTTTTGCGAGGTAGATGTCACATAAACAACAATATATTATATTTGACATGATTGGAGAACACCAAAATGAAACAAACAAAGCATAAAAACAAACAAACAAACATACAAGGATGGAGACGATTACAACGGATTACAAATGGAGAAATTCCAAATTTTTTGGTCCACTTTCGTTTCGAGTTCCACGAACTGCAACTTAACTCCTTGACTGTTCGTATCGTTTTCTTTTTGTAGATATGGTAAATGATGCTGTAATTCCGATGGCAGCAGTTGGCATAAAGTACTTTGGTGGACCGCTTGTTACAATCCTCGCTTCAAAAACATCACGTATGTACAATAGCGATATACACTAGATTGCAAAATTGTTGACACCTAAATCCCGTTACAAATGAACGATTAGACCCAACGGCTTTATGGGTACACATGTACGTGATAACTACTTTTAGTTGAACGCGGCAAATGATAGAGGCCATTTTCACTTTCCTAAAAGAAAAAAATATCATAGACAAAAATTCCTCATGAAGGATAGAAAAAGTAGAGCACTGACTTTGTACTGAGCAGACACTTCCCGTAAAGCCGTTGGGTCTCTGCTCATCGTTCATAGATCATGCCTTTAGTTGCCAACGATTTTGCAATCGAGTGCAAGTCAGGTTTGAATTATTTCTACCTCCAACTCATCATTTCACCTCTTGTTTCCCTCGTCACGGTATTGTGATTTACTACGTGAAGTGAAAAGAGCCATGTCTTTTCTTTGTAGAAAGATACAGAATCCAGTGTGACGTGTTTCAGGGAATGTGGCTTGTTCTACATGAGGTTTGCAAGCGGTTAGAGGCGCACTTCAAAAAGAATAAGGTAACACCAACAAGACATTACAAAAAGATTTCACATCTTAATTTTCTGCTTTCATAGCCGGATGGTAACCTCATGAGGTTAAGGAGGGGGGGGTGCACATTTATCGTTCCCTCTGTCTATCCTTTTTTGGCCACAGCTTTGCAACTTTTGGTTTGTGTAGTGATCTCGACGTTAGGCAAAGATTTTCAATAAAAGACTTGTTTGTGTTTATAATTTCTATCATGTGATCTCTTTGTAGGACGCCGTTCAATTTCGTGCATCATTCATGGGCCCGTTGCCTTTACAGGAATATTACGAACTGATAGATGCTCATTTTGAGGTAAGTGGCACTCTCATTTGTCGCAGGCTTTATCGTGTAATGTGCTTTTTACCAAGAGATTATAAACGCTTTGTTATCTCTTGTTTCTGACAATTAGTTATATATTTCTGTCACTCAATACTTCTTCAAATCGTTCTATGAAGGTGGGTTTGAGTCAGCTGTGGCAATAAAAGACATCCACCCTGACGAAGGGCTAACACTCGAAAATTCAGTTTTAGAAACTATTTACAATGGCCAATTTACATGATATTACTCAACAGCGAGAAAGCAACGTAAATGTAACGTCATATAAGTTTGTATCATCCAAGAGATTATTCCGTTTATAATCTCTTGCATCATCTGATTCACAGCAACGCTGTAACCAAACGAAGTACCGCGAGTTGCTATCACAGCGGGCTCAACAGTTTCGAGCAATTCAAAGAAGATTGTTAACAAGGTTCAAAGACAAGACCCCGGCACCTCTTGCGAACCTCGACACTCTTCTTGACGGGACTTACAGACAGGTAGATAGAATAAAGATTGACAATGGAAGGTGTTGATTAAATAATAAGTCGCTCTTATGTTACTTGATAAGTTAGTATGTTACGAGTATGAGTGCGAATTTATCGAATAGGAGGCGTTATATTAAGGAGGAAATCTTACAGCCTTCATAAATTTTCTCATTTTTCTTTTGGTATTGTACGAAAAAGCTAATCGAAATGTTTGCCCAATTAAAATAACGAATGAACAGGACGTAACTAGCTTTGATTATTAGGTCAACTTTGTTTTTCTCACACAAAAACATTAAGCCTTTATGTGTGCGGTATTTCTCTAGGATCTTATGTTCAATTGGTGTATTCCTGATTTTAATGGTTGAAACTGGGACATTTCAACTTTCTTGATGGTTCTTTTTGTACCGAGGAAAATTTCAAGAGATTTCTAGAATTGTTTGTTCCGTGTAACTTACCATCAGTTAGAATTGGACGTAAGGTTACATTTCTGCTCTAAACGTCGATCAGCTGGCATGCATTCTGGTAGAAAGCCATTTAAAGTATAAAATTATCTTCCCAGCTCCTCGCGCTTGGAGAGGCCGATGAGGAGTGCGAACGAGCCATCGAAGCAGCTTCATATAATCTATCATGCGGAACACGACTTATTAATTTCCTTATCAAGTAAGTGAGGGCCCTTTTGTCAATAATAGAGCACTTGCGATTGCGTGTCGTAGAATAAAAACTGAAGTAATGACGACAGCCAATCAGAAGATAGAAGAATATTACAACAGGCCGGTGAAAACGCAGACAAAAGACTAGAAAACTGCTTATGCGCAAGAGTTCACGAGTGACCAAGTTTTGCGTTGCACTTTTGCATCTGATTGGATTAAAAAGTGGCGCAAGTTTTCTGGACGCACAGTGACGCGAAGAAAAAAACAAGGCAGTCCCTTATTACCTCTGACGCTCGCTTGAAAGTTGCTCTTAACGACACCAGAGAATATGTAAGAAAACGTGAAAGAATTTTTCTCGAGCGGGTTTAAAAGAAACACTCCACTTCGCGTTAGCGAGTTGAATTTTTCGCACTTGGATGTGGCTCTGAACGATGTGTTTTAGGCAAGGTCTGTGTATTCTTTGCGTGACATTCCGTATGAGGATCGAACGCAACTTTATGCCATGTTACGCCATGCTGGCATCATATGTCACGCCATATAGGAATTTGTTCACGTCATCTGTTTTCATCTTTTTTAATTACTCCACAGGCTTTGGACCAACATGTCAGATAAAGATTTTGAGGTTCTTCAGACTGCGCTTTCTCCCGAAGTATCTGAATCACGGGAACAGGTATTTTACAATCGTATTTTTTTATTTTATTATTATTTTCTTATTGTTTGTTCTTTATTTTGTCATTTTTTAATTATGATACATCGGTGAAAATAACAGAGGAATTACATTTACATTAATATGATATACCTGAAGATTTAGCATGGAGCGAGGAAACCAGTAGGGAAACCAAGAGACTTATGCGAGCTACAGGCTCCTAATATTTTACAAAAGTGAGGTATCAGTTTCATGGCGTGATTTAAGTACAAAATATATTCGGTTAAAAAAGAAAAGACACATACACATAAAGGAACAACAACAGGAGACAAATTTTTGTCGCGAACATTATGTGGTTTTCCCTCTCTGGCAATTTTTAAATCACTCGTCTTCTTCGCATCCGTAGTTTGAAATGTCAGGTGACATCCTTTAAAAAAAAGAACAAGAAAATGAAAAAGGGAACTGAAAAGATAAGCTTTGATAATTTTATAGCATTCATAATTCTCGCAAACTTTTTAATAATTATGTGGGATTAACGGAGTTGTTAAAAACAAATCAAAACGATACAACAAAGCAGACACAAACTAAAAGCAAAAAGCAAGAGGATAAAACGAACGTAAAAAGCGACTACTGCCAATTTCAAGTCGTGTATCTGGTTTCCATTAAACAAATAGATTCCATGTTTCCGTGCGTCTGTTTAGTAATAGATCACAAATGACGTTAAAATGTGGTAAGACCGAAAATTTAGCACACTAGGCGCAGCTGTGTGTGTCGCTGATGTTCTTACCACATTTTGACTTTTTTTGCGATCTTTTATAGTCTCGAGCCACCGCAACATGGAATCAATTTGTTTTCAATAATAAAAAAGAAAAGGTTGTTAATGGTGACGTCATCTATGCGTCTGCCCTCCAATGCATCATGGGTAAGAACCACTCAAAACGCGTGTTTAAGTCAGCTTATCATGAAATATCAGCTAATTTCCAGGAGTCTTCCTTGCTTCGGGGATTCACCTCTCCTCCTCCCTCCAATTCATTTTCAATTCGTTTCGGTGAACGTAAACAGTGTCACTAGTACTCTTTCTTGTAACGGTGGTAAACAAGTTACATCTGTAATTTGCTGTTTCAGATTGTTGAAATACATCGCTTATGTAATTCTGTGTCTTTCCTTGTGTTCAGGGCTGGGAGGAAATTACAGATGCTGCAATTACGCACCTATTGCGGACCTGTTTGGCAAAAAGTGCAAAGGATCAGGCTGGTTAGTACCTCCGTTTAATTTTAAATTGTCTCTGATTTAATGAGTCTGAACGTTGAAATAATTTTTTGGAAAAAAAAAAAAAAGAGGTTTGGAATTTTTTTGGAAAAAACTTGCACCAACCGTGTGTACAAATCTCGCTCAGTGTTCTTTGACTCTGCCTACAGTTGGTGTTTCAGCCATGAAGATTCCTAAAGATACAAGCAAGCTAAAGAAACACATTGCGCTGATGTGTGACAGGCTCAATAAGGGCGGCAAGCTGGATTTATCTCTATCATCGCAAACGGGCGAACCCCTTGTACAGCAGCAACAACAGAAAGCGGTCACACCGCTAGAACCGCTCAGCGAGATGCAGGAGGAAGAAGATGAGACAGGTATAAAACGCAACAGATGAGATTTTCATTTCTTTTCACAATTTTAATTCACTTTCTAACGAACAGATAGTGAGTACATCGTATAACGGAAATGATCTCAAAATAACGGCGGGTTCGAGTCAATTGTTCCACGCCTTACCTTTTTTGCAACGTAGGTTGAACTTATGGCTTTACTGGGTAAAAAAAATTGTTTGTCTTCCTATTTGATAGACCTACGCGCATGTTGGCGGGCCCACTAGGGGCCAAGCACAAGCACCCGATATCCCGAGCAGTAGTCAGTTTATCCCACGCAACCAAGGGTAAAGCTTTAGCCTCGTGTGCCTCTGGGCTCGATACCAGACTTACTGACGATTATTTGCTTTGTTTCCAGATGGTTCATCCGCATCCTCCACGTTAGACAGCGACCGTTCGTCTGAGATCTCCGACACGGAGTCTGTGTCGAGTGGCGGGAAGGTGCCACCTCGATTACCGCAACTCAATCACTCACGGAAACCTCCGCCAGATTTGAACAAGAGACTACTGGTTACTCCCGGATCTGATGAAGAAAGTATGGTGTTGAAAGGAATTGGTGCTGCGTCCTTGGCGAATGGTTTACCTGAAGATCACGAAAGAGCATTGTAGCGCAATCACTGGCCTCTGATGGTCACACAACGCATGTTGGTCACTCCTGTCATTGTCACAGCAAGTCCGCTCCACAACATGTCACACCAACATGTATGATACACACGTGGCAAAACACTCTTTGTACAGTCTCCTTGAGTTTGTCACGCAAAATTAAACAAGAAGCAATCTTATGTGGGTGCCTCCTTTAAGTATTTAAAGATTTGATGTACAACCAATAATTTTACGTTCAGGATTACATGTTTGTAAAGTACAACGTACCCTTTATCGTTGGAAAACATCTTTTTGGTATCCCGTGACTTAACTTTTTTTTTCTTGATCTCATTCGTACATGGCCTGCTTAGCAGGTAGGGCTCAATTTATCCAGGGGCGAGTGGTGATGATGATGTAAGCTGAGCGTACGCAGCGAAAGTTGATTCCCATCAATAACTGATTTTTCTTTAGATAAGCTCAGTATTTGATGGTAATGTAATGTTACTGTTTACAAATAAGTAAAAGATCACGATGTATTTTACTATCCTAGTCCGAAGAAGCAGGAGAAAATGAACGGACAACGGTAAAATCTCCTGATCTAGGCACTAGGATGAATAATTTTTTATAGATAGTCCCTTGAATGGACACTTGGTGTATCGCATGAAGTCTTGACCCGACGGCAAAAAACGGGGCGATTATTTTAAACAATGGAAACGACATTGGAAAGGAAGAGAAATGATCTTTTTTAGGGAAGAATTCAAGCGTTCTATTTGAGATAGCAAGCAAGTAGATTTACACTTGACCTAATGTATCTTTAATGGAGTGGACACATCCCAGGTAACGCCCTAATTGTTCTCTGTGCCCTCATTCCTCGTTTTTTCTTGCGTAACGTTATTTAATGTAAAGCTTAGACTCCGAATGGAGGAGTGTACAATATTGTATATGGACTGAAGAATCAGTGATCTGTAATTTAAAGTTGTAGAATGTTGTAAAATAAGACTCGGACAGGAGAGCTCGTCAGAATACCACAACTATCATCCTGCTACTTTTTAACTTAAGCAAGAAGACAAAATTCTCATATTCAGCCGTTAAGAATTCTTATGTGGACTGTGTCATAGTGGATTAGACCACCATGTTTGATTTAGCCATTATTCGCCCCGAGAGTTGAGGTTGATGAGCAATTTTGCGTCCAAATTAAAAATAAAAGATTACGAGCAAAGCGACTTTTTTTTTCAAATTTACATCATCAACGAGTTGAAAAAAGGTGGTTTTACTATAGCGTCTCACATTCACACTACTTCGCCACTGCCCACGCCTCAAATGAACACCTGACCGCAAGAGAGTTATAACTGGTTCAGAAAACTCTTGCCGCTTCCTCGACCAATCAAGTGTAACACCAAAACTAATGGCGGCTTGGCCTCTCACGTTTTCTCGCGCTTTGAATGGGTTCCTTAAATTGATCTGGAATTCTCATCAGCTGTTTGTTATGAGTTATCGTCTGATTAGCCACTGTGATAACTTTGGTCGAGATTTTACTACACAATACATTCAATTGAAAAGCGCTCTCGTTTTATTAGCGAAACTTTATTACCTTGTTTGCTAAAAAAACCGGTCATGATCAAAACTTACTACGGTGAATTAATTCACCTATTTTACGTAGTCGTCAGTTTGTATGGCCTCGTGAGTGTGTTAAATTAAATGCCTTTTCAGTTAATTAAGACATGGACACCACGAAACGTAAAGAGGTAGAAACGTAACTCCTATGCTAAACTTCACTTCCTGAGAAAAGAGCGTTACACGTAAAATTGGACGTTTATACAATTCAATTACAATTTTTTTTTACATGGAATCATCAAATAGGTATGAAATCAACCCTTTACAGTTTTTAAACTAAGAATTAAATACCATCGATCTTAATTCCAGTTTTAAGAGGATATAATGACAAGGTTTTCCAAGTGATTTCATATTGTGATCCCTTTTGAAATGACCCCAGCCTTTCTTTAGTATAAGGCTTGGTTCCTTAATAAGTGGAAAAAATTTTATGTGGTAAACTTTTCACTAAAAATTACATTCAAATTTTGGGTTGTACTTTAGTTGAAACCAGGGCAAATGCTTACATGACACTGTTAAAAGTCTAAGGAAAATTTCAGTCTTATTTGGTAAAAATATTTGTAAGGTATTCTTTGAGACCACGGGTTAATAGTTATTGGTTCCTGATGCAACAGATGAGTAAGACAATTTAAAGATTCATAAATAATATACGTTGTCATTTATAGGATTATTACAGATATGACGAGGTTTCGAATGTCAACATTAAGCAATGTCAGTATCAAAGAAACTTCGCACCTACCCCTCCCCTAACTGAACAACAGTCAAGTGTAACAAGTTAGGGTTAATGTTGAGTTAGGGGGAGGGGTAGTTCTAAAGGGAGTTCTTCTATGGATGATTTGATATCCACCACTCAGGTTTCGGTGAGAAAATATATATCCTTTGAGATAAAAAATATATATTAGTTCGATACGCGCGTGTGATGACTAATGCTACGCAACTGATAGCGATGTGTAAGATTAAAACTATTTGTGAAACCATAGACTTCGTTACATATGTATGGTCTCGTTGATAGCTTCACAGTCCATGGGTGTAATTTGTAAAGTTATTGTTGCTGCTGAGCAGTCAATGGAAACCGTCCATCTCTCCTTTCTCTCCTGTCATATGAATTGGACGAATCCTTGCGACTATGCGCGCGCATACACGTGTTTCATCGAAGTACTGACCAGCTGGTTCATATATGAGTTATTGAATGCAAATGTTGTCGGCTAAAACTATCTTTATCTTCCATCGTTATTCTTCAGTTGTCTGATCATCCACTTGTGACTCCTCTTCAAACTCACAGCCGCTCTTCGTAGTTTACCCTGAATGGACGACAGCTGTTGGATTTTCAAGTTACAACAAAAGGTTAGACGAAGGCTAGTGAAATATGTGTAACTTTATCATTGTTAATAGAGACGTAGATTTGAAAAAAGCATTAAATTTTTATCTCCGCCATTTAACGTTGTATATTGAAGTCAATTGATCAAGGTGTTCTGAGATTCTAAATGGTAAGCTTACGATTAGAAAAAATGTCTTCAGATGTGTCAGAAATTCGATCAGGGAAGCCGCCATTTTGAAAACAACACAGTGACAGGGCCGGCCACCTTTAAGGGAAAAGAGGAGTGAAACGTTGTTACGTCGAAGATAAGCGATCAGGCTGCCAAGCCAGATTTGAAAGTGACGATGTATGCTACTTTGAAGGCAAACTTCATCAGATAGAAAAAGTCTTTTGAAGCTGATAACACACTCGCGTCATAACGTAGGGTAGTGAAAATGATAAATGCTTTCTACGGCATAGGCGCCTTCATCATCGTTGCCACACAGCACTTTGCACCACCAACTGCGTGACCTTTATCAATTTCTCCGTTCTAGTAATTGTTCATTTGTCTCAATGTGTCTGATTCTTTAGACAAGGCACTGATTGAAAGTTTCATTTCGATGTTTTTTCACTGAGCGGTGGTAAATGCTGCTTTCTATATTTAGAAATTTGAGTACCAGTGGTGTAATACGGAGCATTAACAATTCTTTGACGGTGGAAGAGTCTACGAAATTCAAAGTGATATGATTCACGGTAGCTTTTTTTCGAAAAGCACCTAGTATGTTTAAATAACATCAAAGGCGTTAAAACTTCGGATGCAAAACAGAATTTTTCGAGGAGGTGAGAAAAAGATGCTATCGTTCTTTTCTTGGAGAATGTTTCAGATTAAGGACTTGTTGTGTTTTCTTCTGCGAAGCAAATAGAGAGATTTGCCGAAAGGTTTTGGTGTGTTTGCAAGTTCTTTTGCGACATCAGATTGTTTACTTATAAGCACATCTTCCCCGCAGCCATCTCACCTGTGGAGGGCATTTCTCCGGATGAATACATTTTGTCCTTTGACTGTTCCATACAGTTCCCACCGGACACAGACAACCAGGCACGCAAGAGCTGCTGGGACACGGAACACTTACGTCATCCTTGTTGTCGCACGTCCGCTGACAGGCAGGAGCACAGTCATCAAAGACGGCGCCTTTGACAGCGCAAGAGACTCCTTACAAGCAGGAAAACAGTAACTCAAAATTTATCTTGGAATTTCTTTTTGATAAATGTCGTGCAGTGAGTGCAAAGTGCTATCTCATTTATTTTTGTGCACCTGTCTTAGGATAGCATTTGCGAGTACCTAAGGTTTTGTCTGGTATGTCATTACGCGAACCGTATAAACCCATATAGCTCTACTAGCGTGAAAAGTACTCTAACACTTACCACAATAAGTTTTCCAATTCCTGCCCCAGTTCACTGTGATTCCTTCGCTTTTACACTTGTTTTTGTAAGCCAGAACAGCGTCACATTCGCACCGCCTTCCTGTACACTGACAGACCGCCGAAACGCACGACGAGTAATATGCGTCCGGCTTCACCTTTCCGTGACAGTTTGCAAACTGCTTCTTGATAACAGAGCATCGTTTACGACCACTAATGAGTCTCCGCAAACGACATTGTGACATCGTTGACTTCACTGGTTCTGAAGGGGCTTTCTTGCACCCGTGATTTCTTCGACCCAATGACCAACTTTCTCCAAATTCTTGAGCGGACGTAGCGCGCCTGCCGTTTTTCAGATTAAAGTCGTCTTTTGAGTTACCGTTGAAATTCCCACACAGCCCGTCGACTTTACCCATAAGACTCTTCGGCACTCTTATCTCAATGAAACCCTTACCATCCCACTGGACCTGAACTCCCATGTTGGACACAAGGGTTATGGTAAAACTACCCTTCGTTATCTGAAAATAAGGCAGATGATAGTATGGTAGCTTCACATCCGACTTATTCACTTTCACTTGCAGGTCCTTATGTAAAACAATCGAGGAGTCAACCAAATGGATCGCCAAGGCCTTGGACCAAGCGTAGACTTTGGTGTATCGCCGATCATTACGCATGCGTATGGTAAAGTTTGCGTTGTCTGACGTGAGTTGGTATCGACAAGTGCCATGAAAGTTGAACATTTGACCATCGAATGTTCGATAATGTGGGTCTCCATACGATGTACAAACACCAGTCTCTAAAAAGGCAAACCAACAAACAAGTTATGAAGAAAGCCTACAGCTGTTTAAAAAATAATTTAGTTTCAATTCAAGAAGTTTAGACTGCGAGCAACTCCTCTCGAATAGCTTTTGGGGCTTCTATGGCCAGCGGGGAAACATATGATCAAAGAGAGCCAAGCTGTATTCTGATGCAATTTACACCAGGTATGGATTATTTTTCTTTTAATTTTTGCTTCTCCTTTTTATTTCCTTTTTTTCTCGGGCGTCCACAGGAGAGCCTGAGTATTAAAATGAGAAGGTTTCAGTTCCTTCCTGTTGCAAATCGCCCTCAGACGTCTAATGCACGTGCGCAAGGTGTAGGAAAGGTCAGCGGCGGAGCAGATGGTGTTTGGCCCCGGTCTACAGCGTGTCTGCGAGCCTGATCAAATGAAGGGAATGTGTCTGTGTTCATTGGAGTTTGAAGCGCTTAGAGGATCATTACTATACTTTTGAAATGCAACGGAGTATTCCCGGTAAACGCAAGAGTCTTCTCGAAGATGCAGAGGACGCCACGAGAGTCCTACGAGCGAGCTTTTTGAGTTAATTTTTTATTGAGCAACCAAGATTTAGTGAGCTTTCTGTGGAGTCCCTGTGGAGTTGGAAGAAGGATCACATATCTGCCAAAACAGGTGCAGTCGAACACTTTTAAAACTCTACGAACAACTGCACTCTTGAAATGCAACGAAGTATTCCCGATAAACAAGGAAATGAAAATATATTCTTTCTTTCAATTTTTGCTTTTGGATTGGTTTTATTGAATTCATCTTGCCTTTCTTTTATCATGATCTTCCAGTTTTTTACTTTTTCCGTAGTGGCAATAGAGATGAAAAACAAGATTGAAACAGTTCCACCCCAACCCACCCCCTTTGGTGTTTTTTGATAGTTTCCATATTTGGCGAGTGGATTGGCATTATGTCCATTTATGGCTGTTGTGAGAAAAAACAAAATGGCGGCAATGGGTGATGACTTTTCGAACTTCTGGTAAAATGTCCTGTCAAATCGAACGGGCAGTTCACGGAGAAACAGTATTTCGGTGCACAAAAGCTGGTAAATCAACAGGGGACGTTTCAACGCCTCAAAACCGAGAAATTGGAATTCGCCTCGAAGCTGGTATCATTGGTTGTGCTTTCGCGGGTAAGACTACTGAATAGATATTGGGTATCCTATTCAAAATATTGCTGAAAAAGTGCTATTTGATAAAGAAAATAGTTTAAACCATGATAGATTGACAATAACGGTAGCGAGAGGTATGTGAGACTTCCTATAGTTCGTTAACCCTTCAACTCCTAAGATCTGATTGTTAACTCTCCCCTCTAGCTTCTAAAACATTTCCTCCTAAAATTGTTGCGAGAATTTAGTGTTCGATCAAGAAAACAAACTCTACCTGATAAGTTGAGGTATTCTCATTGCCTTTTTGCGGAATAATGTACTGGTATGATTGGGAGAAGTTGCTCGTTAATCACTTTTGGAAGTTAAAGAGTTGAAGCTGGTTATAGTTGAAAAAATTGTCTTTCATGCACACCATTCAAGGTTTATCATTCCTTGTCAAACTGAAAAATCTCAAATATGATTAAATATTCCACCCCTAGAAGTGATCAAATGTAATTACTTAATACAAATGCCTTAAGTTATTAGGCAAACAAGTTATGAGAAGTTTGAAAAGCGAGGCAAATTTCCCAAATGAAAAAAAAAACAAATTCTTGGAAATAAACAGCAAATAAATATATAATCAATAGATGAAAGAATCTTAAATTGAGAAGGGTGTTTTTTTGATAGACAAAAAAAACTCTCTGCCAAATTTATAAGGAAATGTTGTGCAGGTAGAGATACTCATCACATTGTGTGAGATATGGTGTTGGGATCATAAAGTCTGCTGTACTGACCAATTAATTCACTCCAATCAATTCACTTAATCTAGACTTTGTACATTTGACCAACAACAACCCTTCACCTCACTCTGATGATGACTTCTGCTCAAGTTGTTAAAATGTCGGTCACTACTACTACCAACAACAGTGCTCCTCAGGACTACTCTCAGCCAGAGTATTAAACTACACAGTCACATGTTACTGCCATGTTCAAACCCTTTGCAGTGTAAATAGTTGCTGTATCAATAATTTGCTTTATAAATATATGAAAATCATATAAATGAACTGGGGATAAAGTAATGAATATGGATGCGATCTTCACAGTAATGAACACTACTTAAGCAGTAGTGAAAATAAGGCCTGAAAAAATTCAGGCTTGTACAGGATTTGAACCCATGACCTCTGCAATACCAGTTCAGTGCTCTACCAACTGAGCTAACAAGCCAACTGGGAGCTGGTCCTTATGTTAGTTCCAAATAAACCCATGAAGTGGTGAATAAAATTTTTAGGGCTTATTTTCACTTCTGCCTGAGTAGAGTTCATTACTTTGAAGATTGCTTTCATATTCACGTCTTTATCCGCAGCTCATATATATGATTTTCATATATTTACAGCCATTAATTCACCACAATAAAAAACTCCACCATTACTCACTCTCTACACATTGAAGGCAGCAAGCCCCTGGAACCAGACCTGGTGCCTTGCCCTTAAGAAAACAAATAAACAAATCAATTAAAAGTAAATAAGAGAGTGGACAGAAGCATTTTTATGATTTTTGAAGCTCTCTTTTCTCAGCAAGCATATCAGTATTCTATTATCATGGCAATTTAAGAGCCTGCATTGGTATTGTTTGGGGGGGGGGGTCGTACACAGGCATTTTGTAGAATTCAAGGGCATATTTGGCTGCTTCATCGTTTTAAATTAGTACTTATTTTAGGCCACAGGAGACTCTATTACTCCTGAGAAACACCCCCTCTTTTAACAGAGAAAGGCATTCATAAAATGATCTCATGCCAGGAAATGAAAATACTCAGTGTGTTTGTTTTGTTGTATATTTGCCCACGAAAACGCAAACTAGTAAAAGCTGGTCAAACATTACATTTGAGGAAAAAATGGAACATAGCTGATGACAACGGACTTTCCTTTTTTAAGAACAGTACCTACCTCCGGGCATCTAAGTGAATTTTTTGGGCTGCATTTTTGAAGCTGGCATGAGACAGTTCCATTTGTGCAAAAGCAGATTTTGCATTCCTTTGCAAACCAAGAATCGTTGTGCTGTTTATTCATAGAAAGAAAAAACGCTTTTTCAGTTTAATTACTAATGCCACGAATTTGCGTACAATTATTGGCTTGCATGGTCAGTCTCACTCATTTTCTTGTACTTGTTTGTTGGCCATGTTTGGGTTATGATAATTCTTTCCGAGCGCAGTTATGTACCTTAATTTAAACGGAAGTGAACTATGAAAGAGAAACTTGCCATGATTAAAATAGTTTTAGGAGTCCAAACTAGATGTTTGTTCCGCACCAAATCGGAGATTTTTGGAGTGAGATTTATTTATTACTTTTGAATACAGTAAGGGTCAAAATATGAACGAATAAGTTGTTTAGTGGGATGGGGACAACAAGACTGCATGTTATTCATCCATTGGTCATGCATTGCGTTTCTTTAGATATGGAAAAATGTTTGTTTGTGTGACTTTAACCCTTTAAGTCCCACCAGTGACCTAGACAGAATTTCTCCTTACACTATCAGTACAATATCAAGCAGGCAAGTAATGAGAATAAAGAAAAATATCAATTGGGGGATTATTGGTTGATCCAGTTCCAAACTAACATCACATAAATTGCATGGCAGACCGTAAGGAAAATTAGTCATGAAATCTTGGGATCAACGTTATTCATTGACTTGATTAAGATTAGTGGTACCTTATAAGTTCTCCCTTGATGTGTACACGAAGCCGGTCCTAACAAAGGAAAAAGAAGGCACAAGTTTACTAATGTTATTTTGTTTTAGTTCTGCTAGTTCTCCCTTGTTTCTTTGCGAATCGCCTTCTTAGATAGCATGATCGTGGTAGGGTTGGTAGATGTGTTCTTATGAGTCAAACACTTAGACTTTTTGCATTACAATGGTCATCACAAGCACCTAAAACAACGAAACTTCGAAATCTCTTACTCTAAGTAGGTGGTGGTACATACACAAATCGAACAGACATGGATGTCACGCAAGGTTTTTATGTGGAAGAAGGGCTAAGTGTTAAACTGCTTAAATGTCAATTTGCCAGATACTTGGATGTGAAACACAAACCAAGGCGTTCCATTTTCGAAAAGAGTATATTCGTTCTAATAAAGGAATTCATGTTTACATTAAGCGTTTTAATAGATTTACCATATTTTACATTTCATCTCGTCCTGAAAACAATTCTTATAAAGAACAATCGGCCTCTAGGCCATGCCGATAGAGATGATCTGTTAATGGGAAGTCGGTTTTAAGAGAGCATCGTGGGTAATCGGTTTTCAATATATTTTCTGAATACAACAGGATAAAGGTTCACTTACTATTTTTTCTAGGTATCTAAATGTTAGGCAGAAATCATCAGAGTATAATTAGATGTTCCATATATTATTTCAGCTTGCGACCACGAATCCTTTAAGTTAAAGTCAACCAGGAATTAGAAATCCGTTTAGGCTAATGAAAATCACTTTTCTGCGCATTTTATTTTGAGTAATACTAGAACAAAGGATATCTGCTTAGCAAGGCTTTTCAGTTGTTTCCATACCGCTGGTTATAAATACTTGTGTCAGCTCGGAAAGAAAAACATGTTTCGGATGTGCACCGGATTCTGTGTTTTTCCGTTAAATGTGACGCCACGTTAGCCCTCTATCTGCGCTATTTAAACCCAAAGCCGTTTATTCGTTCTCAAGGATAAATGCACGGCTCATTATCCTTCTTCAAAAAAAGGAGAGAAACAAAGTTCTCCATTGCTTTGTGGGATGAAGCTTCCGTATATTAAATGAATGCGGCGAAGTTCTAATGGAACAAGCGTCCGCCGTTTCAAAATTTGGACACTATAACAATTCGTGAGGCACTCCTCAGGAGCAGTGAATCGTCGCTATGTCAGGATCGCATGCAGCAACTTAATATGAAGTGTTTAAAATTTAGTTGTCTTGAAATGTTTCTAAGCTTATTTTGCCCATAGGGCCAATGGTGTAAAACAGAATTTCTGTGTTTTCTAGGGGGCTCTCAAACATCTCTGGATCAGCCATGAAGTGGAATGATGAAATTTGCTTTTGTTATTTATAATTCTTCTTGTTTGCAAAAGGATAAGAAGACGTCTTTAAGACTTAGCATGATTTAAAGAGACACTCTTTGGAGCATAACATCGCATATGTCACTTTTCTGCAAAGATAATTACTTTCGAAAGTCAAACTAAATGAAAGGTGCAATAATTGAATGATGGATGTTGTCATCATCTCATTTTTTCAGCCCGTTTGTACATCAACATAGATGCATTTGTAAATCAGGATCACACAAACGGCGGAGACCAAGAGGCGCCTGAGTTCAACCTTTAATCTGAGAGTATTGTAGTATTTATCTGTATTTATCCTCCCTCGGGCACTGTTTGGGCCATGAAATATCCTGTCAGGAAATGAGATACAAATTCTGCGGTAGATGGCAACAAATTTCCTGTAATCTTCTTTTAATGCGAAACAGAGATGAGCCAGAGGGGATCTAAACTCTAGGCTTTTGCTTACTATTTACCTTTTTTAAAACATAATAACAGAAAGAGAATTTAATTAATTATTCAAAAGAGATAGTAACATATTAGACACTGAATTAAGTTGAGTAATAGACACTGAATTAAGTTGAGTAATCAAAACTGGTAAGTGAAATGTTTATTTGTGCGGTCAATTATATCGATATTACAGCTTGAGGCTACTTGGCCGTAATTGTTTGTTCAATAATTTAATTAGCAGATTAAATCGAGCTGCGAATTTAATTTCAAACAGAATTTATTGCAAGCTGAAGAAAAAAAAGCTGTTTGGAATGCGTGGTTTACGATGAGCTTTTAGGGCTTTGTTCTCAGGTAGTTGAAAATAAACTGAGGTAAAGTCTTAACTGACCAAAAATTTAATTTCCTTAAATAAGCTGTTAGATGAAGTAATGTGTCTAATTAACGGATACAGACGAGATACTTAGAACGACTCCACAGTCGACTTGTCGCCATGGGCGGTAGGATCAAACACCTCTCCGCAAGCACATTTAATCGCTCTAGCCGACCCCATGTCGGCACAAGAAATGATTTGTTTTAACAAAAGGCTATTATGGTTTCATTTCAAGAGGATCGGAATTGCCAAGTAGGTGTTTTAGATTAAAGGAGACATATTTGATGTTTCTTCTGTTTACGCTTAAAGAAAGCTTGCAAAGCGGGTTTTATGATACGATTTCAATTGGACAGCCGCGCTGATTGAATATCTAAACAAATATTTGTTCGGGCTAAATACTGACAAACAAACGCATATTTAACCATGATTAAGAATAAACAATCAAATGTTTGAATTGAGCAGTTCATTCCAAAGTCCGGTCAAACGCGAGGGTTATTTAGGTTCAAATGTAACTTTAATTTGCGAAACTTTCTCGAAAGTGGGTTAGAACAAAGGTTTTTTAGGAGCAAATTTTCAGGTCTTTCCAATCAAAAGATTCATTAGAAAAATAATAAAATATATATATATATTTATAAGTTGCATATGATAAGTTGCATCATTAGTATTGGATGCTAGAGTTCAAAGAATTTGCTGGAAACGAAGTGAACTGTGTCGCAAGCGAAAGAAGACCTGTGAAGACCTCGGTCGAGGTTACCGAACGCGGCTCTTCTTTTATATCCTTTAGTGCCGCAGAGGAAGACCCAACAAAAATGAATAAGTAAATAGATAAACAAAACCTTGAAAAGGAAAACACCATGAACGAAAACTGAATCGTGAAAATAAGGACTTGGAGAAGGAGCTGTCCAAAGTGGTTCGCATGTCTCAAGCTTTTTTCTTAGTGTTTTCTTAACAAAGATTTGTTGAAAACAAATATTTTCTTATGGACTATAATTTCAAATTTAATAATCCGGGTTTAGAACTCCACGTATTCTCCTTTTCTGACAGGGCGCATTGATCATTGAGTTTCCGCTGCCAAATTCAAATTTTAATACTGCCCGGTAAGATTCATTTAAAGCACATCACCTTGCCTTGCTTTTCTACTCCGTGGGCTCTAGAGCACTTTCGAACTAAGAGCACTTAAATGAAAATTTATGGAAACAATTAACGATGTCTTCTCGAAATTTTTCTTTATCTTGACATCTTCATGGTGGCCTGACTATCTTAGTTTACAATTCTTTCTTTTCTTTTTGTCCTAAGTCTGTATCTGATTAGCGGTGAGACAGAGGCGCACAGATTCCTTGCAGATGCTGTGTTGAAATTTTCTTCTAATGATCAACATGAACACCCAAAGTGACGAAAGTTCTTTATTTCTTACGCGGAGGATTATTACCTTGGTTTTCATTGCAAACGGGACAGCATTTGCCTTTCTCTCTCTTCAGAGTTCCCTTGCATGCGTTCGTCCTTGGACAGACCTCGCGCGAACATTCCACAGATTTGTTCTAAAAAAGATGAAAAATGTTTGAAAAGATCGCTCACATAATACTCTCATATACTTTTAGATATCCTTGATGTATACCAGATCTTCTTGTTTCCGGGATAAGTGTTATATTCTGAGATCTAGGATATTAGTATCACTAAGGGACCGCTAGATGAACTACATAGTACTTTTCACAACATCTGAATGTCATTATATATTTCACCGTGGATCTTGCGTTGAATTTAAGCTCACAACGTTCAATAATCTCTATGGCAAAGCGTTAAGTTTTGACTCAAGACTGTTTTGAGTTTGTTACCCAGTCTTATCCAGACACCGCTTAAGCCTTAAGAAAGCTTAATTTATCAATCTTGTCAGATTGCAATCTAGCATAAACTTCTGTTTACCTATTCTTGTTCTGTTTATGTTGACCCTTTGCTGTTCATTATTAATAAAAGTTTTCTTTGGAGTCATTTGTTTTTCGCTTTGCAAAAACGTCAAATAACATCTTTGGTTTTTTTTTTTGTCAGAAGCAACAGCCACAATATATAAAACTTTACTCTCCAGAAGTACCTTTCCTTAATTAAGATGCGAAAGTCGGGAAGGGAGAGAAGTTTGGGTTCTCGTGTCCTAGGATCGTTAGCACAGCACGCCACCCTTTACGTTTTAAATATATGCCCTTTGTAATCTCGTTTATGGCACGCTTATTCAACAAAACCAATTAAAGCTGGATCGTTTGGTCAAGATAAGAATTGAAACGACATGAATGATGCCATAAATAAGAAATCCTTACTAATTTTTGTGGCATCATTAGAATGTTAGCTAAGATTATCTGTTAAAGATAAAGGATGATGGTTACTGAATCGGTTATGCGGCTGCTCACATTGCTTTTAAATGCCGCCCATCATTTTACAAGAGTGAAAAGAAAAAGGAAGAAACTGATTCACACGAGAGTATAGAGTAGCATCAGGTTGTCGAAAATGACATTGAAATTACAGCAGCTGTGTAGCTGTTTATGGATCCTGAAAATCTGGCTTGAATTTTTTGAATCGGCTGTTTAATCCATGTCAATCTTCTGCACCCCTAGCGATCCTAGCTCGTTGTCTAGTCACTAATTCAACTCTACTGCTTTTTTTGTCTTACAAAATATTTTTTTATTGGTTTCCATAGCGTTAAGGATCAGTTTGCCCATAGAAGAGAACAAATAAAAAATATCGTGAAAATTTCCCTTGAGGCGGTGCTATAATAGATTTACTCGTGCTGAAATTACACGACTCAAATTATAAATTGTGCGCTTGTTCTCCTTGACTTGTATCTCGCAGTAAACTATTCGTAATAATTTAAGCGCTAGTGAGAAAGTTAAAAACGAGTGGAAAGTCTAATGTGATATCATCCTTGTCGAAAGTGCTTGAGTTTATAGAAATGTCAATGTCAAGAAAGCTCCCATGGCATTTGTCACGGTTGCTAATTCTCTCCAAACCAAGATTTTCATGCTAGTCGTTGGCTGCTTCACAACACTGCCAATATTATCTACAAGTATTTCCGGACGAAAATCAATTGGCCAGTCCATACATGTGTGAAGCTGTGAAAAAAATTCATTTTTAAAAAGGTGCAAGGACGCATACGCATTGCACTGAGGAACAAAAGATCAATACAGGAAGACATAGCTGAATTTTTCACCTCTGACTAGCTGTTCAAATGAAACCAAAATGGAAATGTAATCATCAGATCGTTTGGGAAATATTTGAC